AGCCCTCCCTCTCAACTCCTGGCCCAGCCTCCCCAACCACAACATCCCTGGAAGGAGAACAAAGCACCTGGTGAGAGATGACAGCATTTTTTAGGATGAGGAAACTGAGGTACTTCTAGATTGAGCAACCTGCCCCCAGCCAGTGAATCAGTAGTGGGGCAGGGCTGGGTGGAGGTGTGCCAGACTCCTCCCTCCACCTCCCCTGGGCACCCACGATGCTCTCACCTGTGCCCAACTGCCCGAGCTGGGGAGAGCCAGAGCCCAGAGACACTGCTCAGCAGGCACAGATGCTGTGCCTGCACTGGTGATACCACCCTGTGTGGTACCTCCTGCCTGGGAAGGGTCTGAGCTGGCTGAACCTCTGTGTGCCTCGGGAGCAGCAGGACACAAATCCCAGGCAGCACAGCCCTCTCCCTGCGCCAGGGTTACCTTCAGTGGCATGATGTTGGCGTTGGAGCCGTTCTTGTAGATCTCGTTCATCGTGCGCTGCAGAGCCACCGCCTGCTGCGTCAAGTATTTCAGGTACTCAGAGCTCTCTTTGGTCTTCTCGTGGTGTTCGCCGAGCTGGTGGGAAAGGGGAAGAAGGTTCACCATCACAAAGGAGAGCAGGACTCAACCTGGGTGCTGCCAGCTCAGCATCCCTACAGGAACTCATCGGAATGGAATTTCACTTGCTTTGGCATTCAAAACCCAACCAAACAGTTCTCCTGGGAGCCTCGTTATCAACATTTCCACATTTCCACCAAGTGGGAGCACATCTGGTGGGTGAGCAGCATTCCCTGTGCTGGGCTGTGCTTCCAGGAGCAGTATTCTAGCATTCCCCACACTGGGTTGTGCTTCCAGGAGCAGTATTCCAGCATTCCCCGTGCTGGGCCGTGCTTCCAGGAGCAGTATTCCAGCGTTCCCTGGGCTGGGCTGTGCTTCCAGGAGCAATACTCCAGCGTTCCCCGCGCTGGGCTGTGCTTCCAGGAGCAATACTCCAGCGTTCCCTCGGCCGTGCTTCCAGGAGCAGTATTCCACCATTCCCCACACTGGGCCGTGCTCAGCCAGCTCAGCCGCACTGAGTCAGCGTGTGCAGCCGCAGACGTGCTCAGACAGCCCCGGGCTGGGGCAGGAGCAGGCACTGCCCACGACACAGCTCCACTACCAAACCGGTTTGGAGCTGGTGTTTGACAGACTGGTGGTGCAGAAAGTGGGAAGAACACACCAGTTGTTTCCAAGCCCCCCTGGGACGAGGGGCTGTGCCACACAGAAGTGTCTGCCCAGTGGTGGGCACAGCACAGACACTTGCAGGAGGCTGCACAGACACAGCAGCAACTGCTGCTAGGACTCCCTGGCACCTGCTGGAGCTGTGAGCAGCGAAGGGCTCCCTGAGGCCCAGGCCAGGGCACTGGCTGCACGGGCACTGCTCTGGCCCTGCCACAGCAGGACAGGTGCACAGTGTGGCTGCTCCTCACCTGGTTCTTGTAGATGGTGTATCCTTCCTTCTCGTGCTGCAGAGCTGACCGGAATTCTGCTTTGCTCTCGTACACTCGGGCAACCAAGTGGTGGCTGAGGGAAGGAAGAGGGTTTAGAGGCTCCAACCTTCACTCCCCACAAGGACCAGGGTCATCCTGACAGATTTTGGGGGCAAGCAGCATTGCAGCAGATCCCACAAGAACAAGGGATCTCCATCTTTTGAAAGAACAAACTTGGATGCCGAACCATGACCTTGGCTCTGGGACAAACAGTCCCCAGCTTACAGGGTGAGACCCTCCTGCGTGAGCACGCGGTGACAGCAGTGAGCCAGCCCAGCACCCCACCCTGCTTCACCTCAGTGCAACCTTCAGGGACTTGGCACCGTGATACTTGGAGCTGATGGCCAGCGCGTTCTCCAGGAACCGGAGGGACAGGTCATACTCCATGACCCCATGGAGCACCAGGCCGATGTTGTTCTGCAGAGAAGCCAAGCAGGCTTGAGAAAGGCACATTCACACTACAGTTCCTGCTCTGTCAACAGCAAGACCACCCAGGTATGCCAGTGTTGGAAGGGCTGCAGCCCCCAGCGACGTCCCCACAGCCGTAACACACCACAGGGACTGCCCTCCCCCATGGCAGATTGGCCCAAACAAGCCAGGCACAAAGGAGGTAAGGACCTCTCTGGTTTATGCCAGGGCAACAAGAACAGAATAAATGAATTACAGGTGCTCAAACCCCCAGCCACAGTGTGCCAGGGCAGGGCTCCAGCCACGGAGGCTGACCCAGCTACAGGGTCAAACTCCTGTTTTCTGATGGCACCAACTGGTACCAGCCAAGGCAGTGCCTGAGGGTTTGTTTTAACAGTGCATCTCAAAGGCCCAAGAGGCTTCTGAGAGATTAGGGCCTGGAGGCTCTAACATACTACTTACATCTAAGAGTGCCATTTCTGGGTGATCCTCCCCAAATACCAACAGCATGAGGTAGCGTGCACGGTACAGCAGGTTCAGTGCTGTTGAGAGTTGGCTGTTTGCAAAGCAGTACAGAGCCAGGTGCATCTAGGACAAGAGAAGGGACCCAGGATTAATGTAAGGAAACTAATCTCTCCACAAAATTTGCACATGAATAAAAGGTCTTCCTTGATGGTTAAAAAAGACTTCAGCCACCTTGAAAAGACCTGGGCTGACTCACAGCCCAGTGAGGTGTCACAGAGGACACAGCACTGAGGGAGTTATTGTGCTTCATTTCAGTTTCTCTTATCACCCCTCATGGTGTATTTCCAACCTGACCTGTATGTGTGTCATACTCTGACTGTGCTTTGGGAGGATTCTGTCTCTCTTGTTGTTTTTGACATTAGCCCAAGGCCAAAGCTATCAGAATTAGCAAATGTAAATAAGGATTCAGGAGACAAACCCTGAAAACCTAGGCCAAGCATGCCAAATCCTGAGCACACAGGGTGCTTACAGCACACACACTGAGCTACAGGATCCTAAGAGATGATGGAAGCAGAGGATTCTGGAGAAGGAAGGAGAACTGCAGCTGTTTTGCAGCTGCAGACAGGAGCTGAGGCACACAGAGCACAGCTGGAGCCCCAAGGTGCTGCTCCCCAGTGCTGTACTCACGTATTCTTGAATGGTGTTGGGGTGTTCGATGCCCAGGACCCTCTCGCTCATTAGCACCGCTTTCTGCTGGTTGCTTAAGGCCTGAACAGGACAGAACCCAGAGCAAGTCACACCATGCTGTGAGCTTGGGCAAGCATGGCAGGGGATGGGAGACCCCCAGGAGCCCCTGCTTACCTCAGAGTAGTCTCCCATGATATAGTTGAGCCGAGCTAGCAGCCTCAGGCAGGCACAGATTTCTACATGCATAGCACCATACACATTGTTGAACAGGTTTAAGGCTTCATTGATGAGCTCACAGCCCTCCTTCAAGAAACCTGGAAGAAGGTACAGTCACACATGTCTGAATGTTACATCACCCCTCACACTGCTGCAGATGTGCTGCCCAGGCACTGAGACCAGCAGGGGGATATGCAGCCATCGGCCACTGCCCTGTGCAAGGCCCAGAGCCTGGGGAAGGGCAGCACTCTGCAGCAGGGATGTTTCAGATGGCCTTGGAGACTAGGATTCTCCACCAGACCGGGGTGGGCAGAGGTGTACCAACAGCCACAGCCAACACCTCCCCCTCCCATGCTCAGCAGTCGCCCCACGGGGTCTGTACCTTGCTGAACCTTCGCTTGCCCGCTCTGGAAGAAGTGAAAAGCATCGGAGGCTTTGGGGTTTACATGCTTCACTACAGGGAAGATGTTGAGAATATCCTCTTCTGTGAAGGTGGGCT